CTATTTTCTCCACTAGAAGTTCTAAGAGGACAGGGCTTCGTTTTGTTTACTACTGTATGTTCCACCACCCAGCAGAGCAGTTCGGGTCCAGAGTAGCTGCTGATTCAATATTAGTTATGAACATATAGTGGAGTATCTCTTCAAGCTGTCCTTTTAAAGTTATTTGTGCTACTATTTTATATTTACTCTTGATGTCAGTTAGACTTTTCAGAATGTTGTTCATGTAAGTGTTGGCCAGAATGCATCATAACATTGACTTAAGAAGTGCAGTGCCTTCACATTTTAAAAGCCTAACAAACCTTCAGATTTCCAACTTGCTCTCTGGAGAGAGATAATGAAGATGAGGTTGCAAGACAGGAGTACTTCTCAAGCACATTTTAGTCACTTGGGTTATTTCAGTGATGGTTCTGCCAATAGTCATTCCCTACTGCTGAGGCGGCCAAGGATGGGTGGCATTCCAGCCTTAGGTTCACAAAGAAGAAATAACATGGGGTATTCTCAGCACTTTTCTAAGAGTGATTTTTCTTTCACATTTTATTGACCCCAAAGGCCTGCAAATGAACACATTACCATCCCTCTCACTATTATTTTTTTAAATGAGTAAAATATTTTAGAGGGATTTTAGTGCAGTTTCTACCTCTAAAAAAACATTGATTCTACCTGTAGAATCACTGTAGTTCTCTGTTTCTTTAGCCATAGATTCCCCTATTGATTCCAGTGCTGTAGGAAAAAGTTCTCAGAGGACTGAGGTGGCATCCTTTAGAACAGCTTTACAGAAAGGTCCATACAGGGGCAACTGGGTGGCTCAGTAGGTTAAGGATCTGCCCTCAGCTCAGGTCATGATCCCTGGGTCCTGGGATCAAGCCCTGCATTGAGCTCCATACTCAGCGGAGAGTCTGCTTCTCCCTCTCCCTCTGCTGTTCTCCCTGCTTGTACTCTCTCTCTCTCTTCCTCTCTCTCTCTCTCAAATAAATAAAATCTAAAAAAAACTTTAAAAAAAAAAGAAAGGTCTATACAGCTGTGTACAGGTGGGTACTTTAGGCTGAAGAGAACTCAGATTACAGCCCAATCCCAATCATTCTCAAGGCTTCCTAATTGGTGGGATACCTGAATTAAGGTAGCTAAATGAGTACAAAATCAAATGACCCAACCAATGGAACCAACCAATTAGAGGTCCAACCAACATTTGAGCTCTTAACTAAAACCTCTTGGGTCTTCTCATTCTTGCAGGAATCTCCAGAATTTCTGAGACATTTGTTTTTGACTCGGGCCTATTAGGTAGCCCTTTGTTCTCAAGTAAAGAGTAGCTCTGGCCATCTTTTGTATGCTAAGATGATACCAATCCAAGGAGAGTTCACTACTGTCTTCCACTTAGGTCAAAATTGAATCAGGAGAAGACTGAGAAACATTTTTCCATTACCTCTGAAATTTATATATATTTCTTAATGTTCACTTTCCCTCCCACTCTTAGTAAGATGTGCTATTTAGTAATATATAGTCAAAACTTTTAAATTATGGTATTCTCTGTTTAATAAACAAAAATTTCCCATGCACCTTCTAATTCATGAAAGTTTTACAACAAAATATAACCAGTGTTGATGCACATGAAGAAATAAAAGTCTCTTAACAGATTAAAAAGACAACTATATAAAATAATTATAAAACTGCATTGTTGGGTTTATAACAGATAAAGATGTAGTAAAAACAGAGTGAAACAAATAACAGTTTATATTTTTTTATTTTTTTTTATTTTTTTAAAGATTTTATTTATTTATTTGAGAGAGAGAGAATGAGAGAGAACACATGAGAGGGGATAGGGTCAGAGGGCAAAGCAGACTCCCTGCCGAGCAGGGAGCCCGATGCGGGACTCGATCCAGGGACTCCAGGATCATGACCTGAGCCGAAGGCAG